CACTTTGAGGCATTAGTTTTTATGCTGTTATAATGGCAAATGCCTTTTTTAACACTTAGTCAACAAGGGCTGCCCAAGTAAAAGTCACAGCTTTTATAACTGGATCATGTCTGACTGCTTCCGAGGAAAAGTAGTGTCTCATTTTAACCTCATTTGATTCATGAGCTGCTTATTTGATCTCCCCCCCCCCCATCTCTCTGAGATTTTGGAAACATTTTTTGTCACTAAAAGCTGATAAAAAGAAGAAAATGCTTTGAATAGTATGAGTCCTCCTTAAATCCTGCACTCACTAATAAGCAGTGGCTTAAAAGAAATGATTGATACAGCTTACTGCTGATATGATTGCCCTGCAGGCAGGTCAGTTCACTGACTAACACTTGCAGTCAGTTTAGTCAGGAAGAAGCATCTGTTTCTTCTCTCTGAAACGTATAACCAGGATTGATTGTTTTTAATCTTTGGATGGATTGGATGCAGAACAGCTTCATTAAAAAAGGAAGTTTTGCTTTTCTTGTCGTGGTTAAATTTGGTTATAAGGAACCAGAATGTAAAAGGCTGATTAGGTTTCACTCTTTGGTGATGGGGATGGTGTTAGCACGTTCATTCTCCAGGGAATTATCTGGAAAGAAGGAATTTGATGCATCTGGTTTATCAGGGGAAATTTACTTTCTGTCACCTTTTGTAGTTGTCTGGTTAAAAAAGAAAATGACTGGTAGATGAGGTTTGATATGTAGCCTAACATAATTGGCTCTGTGCACCTTCATTAACATTGCTGGGTATCAAAAAAGAAGGGGCAACCACAAGGTTGTCCACCAGTTTAAGGTTTACATATAAACACTCTTTTATATCAATGAGCTTGCAGACACACATGGAAGTCCACAGTGGAATTGGTCATGGTACAGATCTCAGTGTGCTTGCAGCTTGTACAATTTGGGTTTAATTCGGAGGAGAAGCTTGTAGGTATGGGCCATGGCTGTGTGGTAGAGCATCTGCCTGCCATGCACACGGTCACATGTTCAATCCCTGACATCTCCAGTTAAATGGATAAGGTAGTGGGTGATAGACTGGCAGCAGCTCTCCCAAGGTCTCAGATAAAGGTCTAAGTAGACAATACTGACTTTGATGGACCAGTGGTCTGATTCAGTATAAGGCAGCTTCATGTGTCTTATTTCTTTCTGAGGTTGCAATCCTATGTGCACTTAACCTGGGATTAAAGTATTCCCAGTTAAGTAAGCATAGCATTGGGCTGAATATCCAGGTTGAAAGGGGTTTGCTACATTTTTGCAGTAGTTCATTTTTCTATAAGAGATTTCCATTGTTTGGACTTAGGCTACATTTACATATTATTGTTTGTTATGGGAACAAGCACAGGAAGTCCTCCAGATGGCATACTCCCTCCCTCCTGCTCCTTTTTCACACAGCGTAGATCGTGAAGACTTCCACGCCCACAACAAACCATTGTTTGCCACATCTGGAAAGGGGAAGTGATAAACTGTTGCCTACAAATCAAGGTTCTATATCACATTTTGATTCTGATTTGGAATTCTGGTTTGTAAGCAAGAGGACATATTTGTCCTTTCATCCAGTTTGGATATAGTGTCCAACCTATTTGTTGGGAACTAAGAAGTCTTCAGTATCTAATCCATGTGTGAGAAGAAGATGGGAGAGAGTGAGAAGACTTCAAATGTTCATTCGCATAAGGACAAAGCAGTGATTTGTTACATTTGATTAGATTAGGGGTATCAAACATGTGGCCCGGGGGCCAGATGAGGCCCCCGGAGGGCTTCCATCAGGCCCGCAGTGGAACTGGCCACCTCCTGCTTCCAGTTCTGCTGCTGCTGCTGCATCATAGCTTGCTTCGCCAGACTCTCTTAATCACTCAGCCATTTCATGTTTTAACCTGGGTCTTAGACTCAGAACTCTGAGCATGAGATTTCTGTGGTGAATGTCAATAAATAAAAAGTAGGTCTGCAGCTTACAGAGCTAATGTTTTAAGCATGTTTTTTTTTTAATTAAAAAAATCTTTATGTTTGTGTGCTTTATAAAGTTTCTGTCTCCACTACCTGGCATTACATTTTATGACACACATGGTCCAGCCCAACAAAGTCTCATTTATTTGAGATCCGGCCCTTATAACAAATTAGTTCAACACCCCTGGAATAGATCCTAGATGTGTGCGACAGAGACATTTGAATTCAGCTGGTTTGAAATGGTTCTCCAGAATTCAAAAATATCAGCATGGGAAAATAAACTTTCTTAGCATCCTTATGCCATTTATTTTCAAGTAGTCACTGTGGAAGTTCCTAGGGCTGCTTACATAGACCTGGGATAGCAATTGCATTTAGATGTGTAAAAGATACGGTTCTAAAATGAAGATGGTGATTTATCCACATGACTGAATAAATCATATTGACAGGATTTGTCATACTTAGGAGTAGTTGAGATATAGTAGTTCACTGATTTAGACTAATTGGGAGTAGGACATATTGAGTGATTAGAACTGGTTGAATGCATTGAGCTCTGCTGTATAAAGTACCTTAGGGATTGTCTAATTTAGCATTTTTTTAAATAATCTATAAGAGGGAGTAGCATATGCTTGCATGTTAACAATTTGTAGATAGATTAAGAGATGCTGTGAATACCAGTGAGGGCACAGAAGTGAGGTGTAAGGGCCTAGAGGACAGAAAGTGTTATTCCTCTTTAGACAAAAATCATATTTGAACAGCACACAGGCTAGGATGAGCAGGCATTAAAGCGGAGTTTTTAACAAATGTCCTCTGGATTACCGAGGGCTGCATACCATTTACTTCAGTAGGTTTACATTTATTCCGAATATTTGGTAGGAATCCTGAGCCTTTTTATGAGACATGATTGTTGCAGCATGTGAAAGAATAATGGATAAAATGGGGCGAGTAATGTAACTTGCCGTTATAATCTTACACATGGAAGTACTGGAGAAGAATATAGATCTAGCAGAAAGAAGAGGGAGCACATTGGAAACAACATAGGATTTGAGGGAATGTTCTAGGAAAAGAAAAAATATAAGGGGATACTGGAATTGACAAGAACAGGAGGGAATTAACATCCTAAAGAGGGCTGAGATTGTTTAGTGGGCACTTTGACAGTCTAGAACTGTGGACAGCAGTAGGAAGCCATAGTGTAGGTGACTCAGACCTCCAAGTTGTGCTTATAGACTTATCTGAATTGAATTTGCTGAAGTTCACTTGGTCCATCTTTTAATTCCTGTTGTAAACCCATTTGTTTCATAAATTGTTTTATAGGGAGTACTGCTAGTTATATACCTAAATGGTTATTTGGTTGCAGCGATGCACAAGGCAAGCCACTAGATAAGCTGTTGTAGGTATAGGGAGTAGGATCGACATCTGCATGTCCTTGAACCCTCAACGTCGTTTGAATCATGTGGGGAACCTGCAGGAAGCAGCTCCTCATGCAAGAGGTGGGGTGGGGCTCCCACATGCAATGTCCCACACAATTCCCGAGTACCTGACCCTCAAACGCAGCTTTTCAGAGCACCTGGTGGATTGGTGCATTGTACTGGGAAATATGGCAGAATCTCCACTGTTTGTGGAAGGACTGAATCTAATCCATGGTGCCTATTGAAATACCTCTGTCCCCCCAAAGACTTGCTTGCCCGTTAACATCTTCTGGGAGGACCTGCACTAAATTCCGGTTCCTGGCATGATGTTGTCTGTGAGGGCTAGGGACAGGGAAGTCTTCATTATAGTTCATCTTTAACATTTGCTTCCAAGGGGAGCTTTCGCTGCCAAACTCCACTGTCACTTAAATGGCACGTATGAATTCAAGACTATTAATACAGTTGTTACTCTTTAATTGGTGAAATGGTTTTATAGGCAGTTTCAGGTGGCTTTGAATTTCAGTTCATTTGTGAAGCTTTTGAGCATACTTGAGTGCTCATAATTTATTGCTGAGTAGCTATTTTAATGTGCTCTGATTTTTTTAATGAGAAAAGCAGGATTTAGCTGTTTTGGTTGTGGCTTCATTTCCTTTGATCAACAGGACCTTGGGTATTTCCTCTGGCATTATTGTAGGGTTACAAATAGATTTGCGGCCAGTGCCTTGCTTTCCAGGAAGGGCATAATTTTTCATCTTCCATTGCCGTAGTCGGCGTTCTGCACTTGAGCAGTACACAGAACTGGCCTCAGTCATCATTCACACCTGGGACAATTGTGCTAATTTTTTATTAGCTACTCATGAAGCAAAGAGCAGAGTATTTTGTTCACAGCTTTTCTGCCTAGGGATTGGAGGTCCATTTTTCTCTCACTTGCACCAGTGGATCTGCAAAGTGCTCCCGTAGCCTTTCTCTTCGAGCCTCCTTGAGCTGCAAACTGGCGAAGCAAAGGGAAATTGTGTTTGTGTTGGTGCCAGTTAATCATGCTAGCCCAGCAGCATTTATATTCACACCGCTGCAAGAAACATGTAGTTAATTGGTGAATTGGAGATTTTTAGAGAGAGATTAATGCCGAGGAAGGGTTAGCCTTCCCGCAAGACTTGACTCACTCATAGAATTTTGGTTGAATCTGAACCTGTATCGCTGGCAACAGGTGTTTGCCCAGTACAGTATTTGTGTTATAATTATTGATCCTAACTAGATAGTTTAGATTAAGCTATCAAGTGAATTTGAGACCACTTAGAGGAAGAATCTAGTTTATGTAGGTGAGTATTCACTATCAACTTTGGCTGAGTTGTGATTTCCATGGATGTGAACAGCCATTCTGTATACATGGGAGAGGATGTTGCCTTGCACCTTGGGTGCAGTCTTCTTTTTTTGGGCAGGCATTGGGGGGGGGGAAAACTAGTGCTGAAAGAAACAGCTGAAAATCCTCTATGCAATGCAGGCTAGTGATGTGTGCCTCTATACCCTGTTCGTGTTAAAATTGTGATAGAATGGAGTGTGATAGAATGGATTGTGTATATGTGGTACTTTATAAAGCATATTTATTTTATGGTGCCTTTTTATATAGGGACCGCCTACTGATGCCCCTGCCGTTGACACAGCCGAACAGGTTTATATCTCTTCTCTTGCCCTTTTGAAGGTAAGACATTTCTATAGACATCTATAGACTTTGAATGTCATTGTGTGCATATTGTTGTTAATAAAATATATAATAACATAATAATAATGAAATACCATTCAGTCACAATTGACTTGTGGCAACCCCTCATGGGGTATTCAAGGCAAGAGATGAGCAGCTGTGGTTTGCCATTGCCTTTCCCCTTCAGAGCAACCCCAGTGTTCTTTGGTGGTCTTCCATCCAAGTACTAACCATGGCCAACTCGGTTTTGTTTCCAAGGCCTGAGGAGCTCAAGCTAGTCTCGCCGGTGGAGTGCACTCACAAACACACACACACACAAAATGGGATTTTTTTGGATGCAGATATATTGGACCCAAAAAAATTTGGGATTCCCCCCCAAAACCCAAATTCCTATATCGGTATGTTATTTGGATTCAGGGTTTTTTTCAGAAATCCTGGTTTCCCTCCCAGCTCCATTACAGCCTATGGGACCATTATTGTTAATGGGGAATCTACCTGGGGTATCCAGGGGTCTGGGGGGCCTGTCTTTTGAGGTAGAGGCACCAAACCTTCAGCATAGCTTCTGGCTCCTCTCCTCAAAAGCCCCCCCCCCTCAAGTTTCAAAAAGATTGGACCAGGGAATCCAATTCTATGAGCCCCCAAAGAAGGTGTCCTCATCCTCCATTGTATCCAATGGTGGGGAAAAAACAGCAAAAAAATAATAATCCAAGGAGTGATGTCAAACCAGAGAGATTCTTAATTAGAAACGGGGGGGGGGGGTGTTTCCACACCCCGCAAAACTG